AGAGAGAGAGAGAGAGAGAGAGAGAGAGAGAGAGAGAGAGAGAGAGAGAGAGAGAGAGAGAGAGAGAGAGAGAGAGAGAGGGAGGGGGGGGGGGGGGAGAGAGGAGAGAGAGAGAGAGAGAGAGAGAGAGAGAGGAGAGAGAGAGAGAGAGAGGAGAGAGAGAGAGAGAGAGAGAGAGAGAGAGAGAGAGAGAGAGGGGGGGGTGAAGGGGAGAGACGAATATCGCTCTCCGTCTCAAGTGAACTACAGACAATAACATATATCCGAGATGCCATATTGCACAAAAGGGAGCAGTTTCTTTACCTGGTGGCGGTAAGAAATGAAATCGCAATATTATTTTGCTTTCTGGATGAAAAGCCATGTAAAACTAATAACTGCTTGAGGTTTATTAATTTCACATTCTACGTACTAGTCATTTTTATCAGATGATAAACATTCCGTTTCGTTTCGAAAAAATATGAACATTTTATTGCTGTACGTAGTTACAGAAAGTGATTCTAATATGCATAGTCTCGTACAACATTCGTAATTTGTTAAAGGCTCCCAGGCAAGCCGAGGGAGAGAGAGAGAGAGAGAGAGAGAGAGAGAGAGAGAGAGAGAGAGAGAGAGAGAGAGAGAGAGAGAGAGAGAGAGAGAGAGAGAGAGAGAGAGAGAGAGAGAGAGAGAGAGAGAGAGAGAGGAGAGAGAGAGAGAGAGAGAGAGAGAGAGAGAGAGAGAGAGAGAGAGAGAGAGAGAGAGAGAGAGAGAGAGAGAGAGAGAGAGAGAGAGAGAGAGAGAGAGAGAGAGAGGAGAGAGAGAGAGAGAGAGAGAGAGAGAGAGAGAGAGAGAGAGAGAGAGAGAGAGAGAGAGAGAGAGAGAGAGAGAGAGAGAGAGAGAGAGAGAGAGAGAGAGAGAGAGAGAGAGAGAGAGAGAGAGAGAGAGAGAGAGAGAGAGAGAGAGAGAGAGAGAGAGAGAGAGAGAGAGAGAGAGAGTGAGGGAGAGGGAGAGTCTCTTATAACATTCGTAATTTATTAAAGATTCCCAAGCAAGCCGAGGTTATATATTTTTTTGAAAATTCGCGGGCTTAAGTGAACTCTAGAAATATCAAATGAGAGCTACTTTTTGGGGGATTCTTATATTTTCCCATCTCGCGGCAATGGAGGACAAATACATATCACTTTATATTTTAAATAGTTCTTGAATAATTTGAAATAGAGCTGTATTATTTCTCTTCAATAAATAAATGTGAATCTTCATCCTCACTATAGACTTTAATAATGTGTCATGGCGGCGTTGTTGAAGGTATGTATTAATACGGAACTTCGAGTTATTTGTATGATTCCTCTCCACCTACACCGCTCAGGGCCGTCACATCCACCACAGGCTCTCGGGGACATCCAAAAAATCGAGGAAAGAGGCCCAAAATCCCGGTAAACACGGAAGAAGGAGAGGAAAAGAGGGCGATAAGAGCGGGTCATCGTTTGTTTACATCCGAGTTGGACTTTGTCACTGGTCTCGGCGGCCGTCCAAGAATTCGCCTTTTTTTTCTCTCTTTGTTTTGCTTTGTTTCCCGAGTCGTAGATCTCGTCCTCGGCCTCGTGCGTAGTTCCTCTCCGGCCTCGCCCCGGGACAGAGGTTTGGGCAGTGGCTCTCGGGGACGAAGGGCGAGTGGCTCCCGAGGGCGACCCCAGGCTGGCGGCGGGGGAGCGCGGGGGGGTCGGGGGTCGGGGGGGTTGAAGGAGAGCTCTTGGGGTTCGGTGGATTTGTTCGGGGTTTACTCCTTCAGTGGATTGGGATTGTGGACAGGTTGAGTGTGGATCAGAATTGCTTAGGGTGCTAGTGTCTTGAGATGCACGTTCAAGTGTTTATTTTTTGCCGTTGCTGTGTGCTTTTCGTGGAGCTTTTCTTGCCTCGGAGGTCGTAAGTCGTTGAGGAGAAGCTGCGGCACATTTCCAGTATTGGCCCAAGTGGGTGTCCTCTTTGTCTAGAATATGGGAGAGGGAAGGGCACGTTCCGTCTTATCTCTTAGGGGCTGTAGGTTCTATGTGCTATACTTAGGGAAATGTGTTGGCTTTGTTCTTATTAAAGGTGCTGTGAAAGTGCTTTTATCACATCTCTAATATTACCATAAGTTTAACGTTTGAGTGGAAAGTTTGTTTGAGATAGCTTATATTTTTCCAAATGTAAAATATAGAGTAATAGTATTGTAGCATATATTCATGAAGAAATAGGAACAATCGTTCTTTCTATTACCAGAGTCAGTTTAAGTATTACTGTATATATTTTATGGATATATCAGATTCTGTTATCCTTTAGAATGAGTAATTGTTATATAAATTTTGTTAACTTGATTGACCTTATGTGTCTAATAATCCTGCACAGGCCTAGCAAGAAGACTTTGTTTATTTAACTGTATTTTCACTTATATTATAATCTTAAATGATGAAGGTCTTTATCCAAGCAATTCAGACAATGTTGCAGATTGAAAAGACTGTAGAGATAGCATTTTTTAAAGCAATTTTATGAATAAAAGAATCAGTAAGGGAGGTAGGCATTATTTTACTGCTTATGCATTTTTTCTTGCCTCTCTTTCCTTGGATTTTAAACACCTTTCAACCTTTGGTATTATTGATCCATATGAGGATACGTGTATTCTGAAAAATCACACACATGCAGAGTAGAACGGCAGTGATTCACTTTATGTATTTGTCTTGTGTGCTTTAAGAAATTGTGCTTTTTAAGATGTGATATTAGGAGTAGCAGTGGGTTGGCAGAGTTTGTGGGAGTCCTTTGTGAGAAAGGCAATTATAAACTTGAGGTAAAGGTTGTTGCTCTGCAGTAGGAAGTATTGCAAGGGTTATTTTTATTTAACTATTTATATCATCCTGTTTTCTTGTGTAGTTTTCCCTCCATTGTTTCTTTTGCTTGATAGTTTGAATACTGGGGTATTTTTCCTCTTTCATATATAACATTTTTTTTCTCTTCATATTTTTTTTTTCTCCTTTTGTCATTCATATTCTATTTGGGTCACTTCCATTCTTTGTTTCTCCCTTCCACTCTGCAGATGATTTCTCAGTCTCCTTGACTTTGGTTGTTGGTTTCTCTTCTTCATGATGAGTCCTGGCTAGTCTGAAAGATTATTTTGAAAGGAATTTAATGGAATCCTTATTATATATGATCTCTCTTTCAGATGAAATTTATAGACAGAGGTTTTCTGGTTTATCTTAGGATACGTATGTACAGAGAGAAATTTTCTTTGTCGTGACAAGATATTGAAAGAAAAAATTATTTACATAAAGAAATAAGTTGGCAGTTAAATAGCACACAACGTCACCACTGAAGAATGGGGTCCCTTTGGCAGGTGAGGTGGGGTTTTAGCCTAGCATGAGAGACACTTCATTGATCTTTGGTTCATTTGTGGTTTTCGTGAAAGATCTTCCCTGAGTGCTTAGAGTTATTATTGTATTTGCCTCTGTCAGTATTCACTTTGTTACTAATATTAGTAGATTTAGGCCAATTCGAATGTATATAGAAGTGAAATTCTATCTTTGTGATGTTTCTGTGTACGTTTGGTAACCTTGCACCTGATAGCTAAATAAGATTAATTGTTTATTAACCCTATCTTTACTGTAAAGCATCATCCATTTACCAAAGAAGTGAGTTAGCTAGATATAGCCCATGACCACATTGTATGAACTATTCCTCTGCATAAATAAAGGAATATACCAACAAAAATAATGTGTGTGTGTGTGTGTGTGTGTGTGTGTGTGTGTGTGTGTGTGTGTGTGTGTGTGTGTGTGTGTGTGTGTGTGTGTGTGTGTGTGTGTGTGTGTGTGTGAGACAGAACAGAGGGAGAGGGAGAATGAGTGAGTGAATGTGAATGTGAGTGTGAGTGAGTGAATGTGTGTGTGAGTGAGTGAATGTGTGTGTGTGAGTGAGTGAATGTGTGTGTGTGAGTGAGTGAATGTGTGTGTGTGAGTGAGTGAATGTGTGTGTGTGAGTGAGTGAATGTGTGTGTGCGTGTGTGTGCGTGTGTGTGCGTGTGTGTGCGTGTGTGTGCGTGTGTGTGTGTGTGTGTGTGTATGAGAGACAGACAGACAGACAGACAGAACAGAGGGAGAGGGAGAATGAGTGAGTGAGTGAGTAAATGTGAGTGTGAGTGAGTGAATGTGAGTATGAGTGAGTGAGTGAATGTGAGTATGAGTGAGTGAGTGAATGTGAGTGAGTGAGTGAATGTGAGTGTGAGTGAGTGAATGTGAGTGTGAGTGAGTGAATGTGAGTGTGAGTGAGTGAATGTGAGTGTGAGTGAGTGAATGTGAGTGTGAGTGAGTGAATGTGAGTGTGAGTGAGTGAATGTGAGTGTGAGTGAGTGAATGTGAGTGTGAGTGAGTGAATGAGTGAGTGAGTGTAAGAGAGAGAGAGAGAGAGAGAGAGAGAGATCAATTTACAAATTCCTATGTTGATGGAATGACTGTAATGATAGACCATAGAGGCCCATAAAGAAAAAAACATTAGGAAGTACCCATTGATTTCTTAAAATGTCCGGTACTTTAACATCAGAAATACACGTAGATTTGATAAAGGAGTTAATAGGTAATTAATTCTTTTAAATTTCCTTTCAAGGGTTCTTTTCAAGGCATAAATGTATGCAGAGGGCATGAGTCTGCTATTTCAGTCATAGAGAATATGCCTTCAAAATTGAGGATCATGTTACAGAGTGAATATCAAATATTGGTGTGGTATATTCACTAAAGTTTATGTATTTTCAGCAAGGACAGGAAAGAGTAGATAGTAATAAGATACTTCAGTTAATTGATTTATTGATATAAAGTTACAAATCACTATTGTTAACCCATTGCTGCTGGCGAAAATGAATAAAAAATTGGGAAAATGCTGTGCTCATTTTTTATATTTTTTTGGCTCTGCCTTACCTGATTTCACCTTTCCTTGAATGGGCGGGAAAATGTATTTTTTACTAGTGCTACGAATATTGATGGTGTTATTTTTATTATAAACATTGT